CTCCCGGTGCATGGAGCCTGCTTCTCCCTCTGCCTATGACTCTGCACCTCTCTCTCTCTCTCTCTGTGACTATCATAAATAAATAAATAAAAATATTTTAAAAAAAAGAGTTCTGGGGATAGATGGTGGTGATGGTTGCACAAGAATATGAATTCACACATGGCGCCTGGCTGGCCCAGTTGGTGGAGCGTCCTACCCTCCATCCTGGGGTCATGGGTTTGAATACCATGTTGGGTGTACTTAAGATTACTTAAACAAATAAAACTTAAAAAAAATTAATGTACTTAATTTCACTTAATTTTACACTTACAAATGGTTAAGACGGTAAATTTTATGTTGTGTATATTTTACCACCACAGAAATAAAACAAATAGACAAAACAAGAAATGTCAAGGAAAAGAATAAAGATGGGCTCCTAAGAGAACTCTTGTATTACACCAGACAACCTACTGAGAACTAAATGCCTACCTCAGAATCTCAAATTGTCACCCAGGTTTCCATCCCCAGCAAGCGGTGCCATTTTTTAAAAAGCGCTTGGAGAATATAATTTACTCTCTGGGAATCACCAAAACTGATGAAAGAACAATATCATCAGATGTTACTCCTGATTTAAAAATCTTATCTGCAATGGGAAGCAAACCAGTTTAGAAACTGTCATCCAAAAGAGGAAAGTTGTGTCCGACCTCCATTCTCCCAAATACTCAAAGTCTATGTGCTTTTTGCAGATTCTATAATTTGCATTCCTTACTCCTAAAAGTCATTGCAGCCAAGTAGTCTGTCCTGCCATGGAAGGCTTGTGACACTCTTCCCAGGATGGCCACAATGATGGTGCCTCCCAAATGACTGGGCTCCTTGATCATGCTGCCACTGGGGCTATGGGTCTAATTAGGCTAAGAACCTTTAATTAACAGGGCCTAATCGAGTCAACTTATGACTCAGGAATGTGATTACTGATGTCAACTGAATTTATTCTCCTTCATGCTTCATCATTATGATGCTCACTGGATGTTCTTAAGATCTAGCTTTTTAAAGTTGTTTTTTTTCTCCCTACAACCACATAATTCTTTGGAAGATAAGATTGATAATATTGATAGTACTCAGTGTGGAAATATACACTGTACTGTGTTTCACTGACTGGCTTTATAGGTAGCACTCCCTTAAACAAACATCATAGATACACCTTTTAATTATTTTATCTTTTCTGCCTAGATTTTTAAAGTGAGGTCGTTCACAATCTTTTTCAGTATTTAAAGGGTCCTAGTAAAGATATTTAAATTATAGGGTGTATCAGAACCATTATGTATACATATATGCATGATATATATGATATATATGATAAAAATACATATAAATTATATATAAATCATACATTTATATATAATTATTCTATAGTAGTATATACCATCATATTATATTATACAGTATATAACACTATATAATTACATTATATTACAGAATATATATTATATAATTAAATTATATATCATATTATTGTATATTACAATTTATATTGTATATATGTGAAATATATGTGTTATAAATTGGCTCTGTGGACCTTTAGAGGATTTATGGATGAGCTTTTGTGTATTTGTTTGTGTATTTTGCTAAGGGAAAATGGTCTATAGCTTTCATTTAATTCTCAGAACAGTCTGTAATCACTCCCTCATGGCCAACAGACAAAAATGGTTAGGAGCCATGTCTAGAGCTATATCTTCTAATACTATAGCCCTTAGCCACTCATGCCTTTTGACTTGAAATGTAGCCAAGTATGAATCAATTTAAGTACAAAACGAACACTGGAGTTTGAAGAATTAATATAAAAAAGAAGATCTAAGGTATCTCAACAGTTTGTACCTTGATTATATGTTGAAATAACGTTTGGGATATAGTGGGTTAAATAAAATATATTATTAGCATGCATTTCACCTGTATTTGCTTTTGTTAATGGGGCTACTAGGAAATTTTAAATTACATATGTGACACACCACATTTCTTTCAGATAACATTAGTTTGGGAAGAATCAAAGCTGATCACAGACAATTTGCTGATCCTGAGAGGCAAAAAAATTTTATGGTAGTTCCCAAATTGGAGTATAAGATCTTAGCAAAATGACAGACGATGCCTAAACATATCAAAGTTAAAAGCACTGATTTAAACTACTTCAAATATTCCAGCATTTCCTTTAGGGAATTTCCTTTAGGGAATCATGAATTTGGAAAGAGAAGTCTGATGTCACCTCTGAAACATTGCCATCCATATTTGCAGATAATTCCTGTGGTGCACTTTGATAAGAACCTTGGGACAATAATGACTCAAAGCAAACTTTTGCTTTCAGCACATAAATAAGATGCTATGTTTTAAAAGCCCAGAAAACGTAATGGGAAACAATTACAAAGAAATATCTTTAGGGAAACTATAATTCCCAATCATTAAAAGTCTATGGGTACGGGGGGTACTTTGATCCACGAATCTAATCGGTCCTCACAACCCTTATGTGGTGCCTATTATGATCCTCATTTTACAGATTTGGAAACAGGTTCAGAAATGTTGACTCATTGCCCTTTGAGAAAAAGAACTATTATCTTATTCTCCACTGTGTACTTAGAGGCTAGGACCAGACTTGGCACATAGTAGGTGTTCAGTGAATGGCCACTGGCTTATCAGTGACAGTTTACTGATTTCCATACAAGGTTTCTCTCTAAAGCGTGTCTAATTAGAATAACCTTGCTTTTCCCAATACCACATGCTGAGAAAGAAGTGTACTTAAAAAACTTAAGTTTTTCAAATTCACACATCAATCAATGGATAGAAATATTTTGATTCTCGCCTACCAACACATCATTCGTGTTTTTTGTTTTTGTTTTTTTTTTTTTTGGAAAAAAAAAGTACAGAATCGCTCTCTCACCGTCTCATTCTCAACAAAGCTCTTGATCTCGGTTGCTACTGCTCCTTGGAGTTTTGGGTTTTCTCCTTGCCCCCCCCCCCATTCTGGCTGCCTCTCCTCCTCTGTGTTGGAAAATGCATGTCCAAGAACATTTCTCTAAAAGTTTCGAGCTTTGCTCACAAGTTAAAAACGCTAGGTCTAGGTCTTGCGAGCTGAGTTCATTCCGGCATCCGCATCCAGGGGCGGAATTCCTCCCGGAACTATTCCTGTCCCATTCAACTCGAGAGCCCAGCAGGGCCTCCTGCATCTCTCTGCTCACACGGACTCGCACGCCCGGGCGCGCTCGTGCATACCACAGTAGGGTGAGTCTCGGCCTCTCCCGGAGCCCAACCTGAAGTCCCGGGAAGAGGTCGCATGTGGTCCCCACCCCTTCCCAGCCCCAGTCCGGACAGCACTCATCCATCCGCACTCCCGGAAAGGCAGAGCAATCATCCCCTTCCCGTTCCTGCCCAGGCACGATCGCTCGCGTTTACCGTCTTGTACCACCAGCTAGCGAATGCCATGGCCACAGTCGGTGGGCTCGGAGCCGCGCGTGGCGGAGGGCTCGGCGAGGACGTGGGGTGCGGAGCGGCCGGCGCGGGGCTCCCACTTCGCCTGCCTGGGAGCTGGCGGGCTCTGCGCTCTGGACGCCCGCAGTCAGCAGGAGGCAGGGCACCTGGGCGCACCCGAAGCAGCCCCGCCCCGCCGGCCCCGCCCCCGCAGGCCCCGCCCCACCGGTGCAGCCGGAGGCTGGTTAGGGTAGGGGGTTATTTCTCGGGGAAGCCCCGCCCCGCAGGCCCCGCCCCCGCAGGCCTCGTCCCCCCGCAGGCCTCGCCCCGCCGGGTGCGGCGGGAGGCTGGTTAGGGTAGGTGTGTTATTTCTCGGGGAAGCCCCGCCCCCCGCAGGCTCCGCCCCTCAGGCCCCGCCCAGCCCGGTGCGGCGGGAGGCTGGTTAGGGTAGCTGTGTTATTTCTCGGGGAAGCCCCGCCCCCCGCAGGCCCCGCCCCGCAGCCCCGCCCCGCCCGGTGCGGCGGGAGGCTGGTTAGGGTAGCTGTGTTATTTCTCGGGGAAGCCCCGCCCCCGCAGGCCCCGCCCCTCAGGCCCCGCCCAGCCCGGTGCGGCGGGAGGCTGGTTAGGGTAGCTGTGTTATTTCTCGGGGAAGCCCCGCCCCCACAGGCCCCGCCCCGCAGGCCCCGCCCCGCCCGGTGCGGCGGGAGGCTGGTTAGGGTAGCTGTGTTATTTCTCGGGGAAGCCCCGCCCCCTCAGGCCCCGCCCCCTAAGGCCCCGCCCCGCCCGGTGCGGCGGGAGGCTGGTTAGGGTAGCTGTGTTATTTCTCGGGGAAGCCCCGCCCCCTCAGGCCCCGCCCCGCAGCCCCGCCCCGCCCGGTGCGGCGGGAGGCTGGCCAGGGTGGCTGCGTTATTTCTCGGGGGGCGGCCACGCCCTGCAGCCCCGGCTTTAAGCGAAAGAGGGGATTCCGCGCTCCAGTTAAACTCCCCCCCACTCTGGGGGCCTCGAAGGAACTCCCGCCCCCCTCAGCCCTCTCTTCCTTCGCCCACCTCTCACCACCCAACTTTTCCCGACGCGGCCCGGCCGCCCCTGTGGGGCTCGCGCCTCGCCCGGCGCACTTGGCCGGGCCCGAGGGACACCTGGTCACCTCCGGCCACCTGCCCGGCGGCGGGCCTGAGCCCCGCGCCCTTCCCGGCCCCGGAGGGCGCCCGGGCCAGGCGGCAGGGCGGGTCACGCCCCGCGGAGGCGGCCCGGGGCTCCGGGGCTCGGATCCCCTCCCCCCAGCTCGGCCCTGCGGCTCCCGGAGGAGCGCCACTCACCTCCTGGGTGTCGCGGGCGGCGGCAGCGCGCCGGGGCCTCGGGGAGGCAGCGGGCTTCTGGCCCGGCTGAGACATGGCGAGGCCGCGGGATCGCTGCCTCCGGGAGGGCGCAGCGGGGCCTCGAAGGGAGGCCCGGGCGGGGCTGCTCTGCGAGCGAGGGAGGGAGGGAGGGAGGGGGCGGAGGGGCCGGCGGGCGCGCCCGTGAGGCAGCTTTTCCGACCCAGCCCCGAGCCCGCGCGGGGGCTCCCCCTTGCCCGGCCGGGTCCTCCCCTTCCTGCCGGCTGCTGGCTGCGGCCCCGGCTCCAGCGCTGCGGGACTCCGGGGCTGAAGCCGAACACCCTCGGCCCCGTGGTCTTCGCCCCGAGGTCCTCCCCGCCTCCCAGGACTCGGGGCTCCCCGAGGTCGCAGGGGGGAGGGGCTGCAGGTCTCAGGGTTCCTCCTTCGACTTGCCCGAACTCAGCTTTCAGTTGTGCAACGGGAGAGCGGGACCCGGGCGTGGCCCGGCTGCGCCTCGACCCTTCTCCTTAAACAGGTCTCCAGAATTTTTGTTTTAAAGATTTTACTTATTTATGAGAAACACAGAGAGAGAGAGAGAGGCAGGCAGAGACACAGGCAGAGGGAGACGCAGGCTCCACGCAGGGAGCCCGACGTGGGGCTCGATCCCACGACTCTAGGATCACGCCCTGGGCCGAAGGCAGACGCTCAACCGCTGAGCCACCCGGGCGTCCCTATCTCCAGAATCAAACACCTTTCCTGCAATCTGCCCGGGTTTAGTTTGGAGAAGAATTTACCAACTCAAATCTGGCCCAAGCCTGGACCGTCTAGATAAGGAAGCGGATCACAAAAAACAAATGGGTCTGTGCATTTGTTTGTCTGGATGTGTCTGTTTGTGTAGGTGTGTACGCTCTCCTGTGTGTATTTTCTGGCATCTCACTTGGAGGGGTTTTTTTTGGGGGGGGGGCGGGAGGGCGCAATGTTGAAAGTTTTAAAACGTTTTATGGGGGTAGGAAGCCGTAGGTTCCAGTCCAAACCAAAGAATAGTCCCAAATTAAAACCCCTGTAGCGTTTCTGGAGCCTGGCCGGTTTTGTTTCCGAGGCCAAAGTGTTTTTAGTCTTTGACTCATCTTAAACAGCACTTCCTGGTTTAGGCCTGGAAGTGAAGTATAACAAGCTTGTCTAGAAAATGCTCGTCTGCTGAGACTGTCACCCTTCCATTCTGTGGTTTGTGATCAGAAAAAAGAACCCGTTTCCCTGGGGTGGCATGGACACTTTGGGCCCGAGGGTGACCACTCTCTGCAGTGTTATGTTTTTAGACATTTGCTGAGAGAGAAGCCAGGTTGTAGGAAAAGAGTAGTCATGCTGTATTTAGGGATTTTTGTCTTCATTTACAGACTAGCAGCATTCCTGATGGGGGGAGCAGAGAGGAGTGATGAAAATGGATTTCCTCTTTAAAAGTTTTGCTTATTATCTATGTAACTAGCATTTTCAGCACACAGGCTACAGTGTGAGAATTTATCCATAAAAATGAAATGACTTGGATAAGGGATCTATCATTGTCCATTCAAGAAAAATTGGTTGGTGGCATGAATTACACTCATAATTGGAGGAAATATGTCATAAGCCTGAAAAAAAATGACTTAAGAATGCAACCAAACACCTACAATAATTTAAATAAGCACACAAACTACAGGGCCCAGGTGATAGGCAGCCCCATCTCTAGGCCCAGGAACCAGAAACATATCCATACTAAAGATCCTAGAGGACCTAGGTTCAGGCTTTAGATCCCTGACACATTATTCTGAGTCTGGAAGAAGAATGGTTTGTTGATTAAAATTTGAGGTGTTTTCTAAAGGGTATTTAAAATTGAACTTAAACCAGTTAGTGTTATATTCTTTGAAAGTCTTTCATTCATGTAAAGCATTGTGAAAGAAATTGATATACAGATAAAAATGCATATTTCCTGCACTCCAAAGACTTAGAGGTTAGCTGGAGTCATCCGGCATTTGTAACACATCATTTGGGTGACAATGAGGCAGGTATGAGTAAGTACAAATGTGTTTTGGGAGTTTGGGGTTCTGTGGGGCTTAGTGCTTTTAGGAAGGTAAAAGAAGCTTGAGTGGGCAGGCTGGCTGGTGGGATGTGGACAGGGGTAGAAAGGGTGGGGGCAGTTCAGGAAATATTAAAAAAGCCTACCCATCTGGTTGGAGCTGCTGGTGCAAGTTTAGAAGTAATCAATCCATTTGCCAACTTACTATTTACCAAGCAGCTGCCATGCCAGGTGATATAATTGATATCAAAATCTGTAAGAGATAATGACATTAGCCTTCAGGCTTTGCTTAAGGGTTGGAACTCCATAAGCAGATCAATTATGGACTAAACTATGCATTGATGATGATCAGTAAAGAAGAATTACAAATAAGTTGAAGAAGAAAGAAGACAGTGTTTTCACTTTCTCTTGTAGTCAGTGAGGAATTCGAACTTTGATACCATGACCAGCAGTTGAACACCTTAGAGAAGGTCATTTTAAATATATATGGCACCTTTGTTTTATTTTTATTTGCACATTCCTTCATTTACTCAGTAACAGGATGACTGCATTGTGTCAGGCTCTGTGGAGGTACCGGGGACCTGAAAGTCTAGGAGGAAAGACAGACAAATTCACCACCACATGACCATGGAGGAAGGGTAAGGGCTGGCAGAGATATTCCAAGAGCACTACAGGATCCTGAGGGACCTCTCACTCTGACCATGATGGGCTGGCTGGGGAGACGGGGAGCTCAAGGGCTCCTTCCTCCTGCCTTGTTTGACTTGACTGAGTTGTAACCTCCTCCACATGACCTCCACCTTGTATCTTCTCTTCATCCCCACTGTTGCAGGAGCTGTTCAGGAGCGCATCACTTCTCATCAGGAAACATGTAAACTGAGAAAAAGAAAGATAGGATGGAGACTGGAGAAAAAGCCAGTGGAACCTGAGAAGGAGCTACAGTGGGGGCAGGAGGAAGGAGCCCTTGAGCTCCCCGTCTCCCCAGCCAGCCCATCATGGTCAGAGTGAGGAAGGAAGTAGGTACCAGAGGCCAAGGGAGGAGGGGCTTCTGAAAGGAAGGGCTGATCAGCAATATGACATTTCACTTAAAGGTTGGGTCGGACAATGGATGAAGAGTGTCCATTAGATCTGACAGCTGAGAGGTTGTGGTAACCCGGCCAGGGGGTAGGATTCAGGAGGATTCAAACCTGAGGTACTCATGGTTTGAATAGTCCCCTTCCTTTGCATGGTATTTTTTCTACACTGCCACTTACTTCTGGAATGGAAGTTAACTCGAGAAAACCTGGACCTTTTAGCTGATATCCAAGTGCCTATCAATCCCACTGAAATGTACCTGTCCTGTCAGCCATCTTGAGACTCTCCACCAGGTTTGCTCTACTCCATAGTGACATTGTCCAGAGTAAACCAGAAAAAGAAGAAGAAGAATCATCTTTGCAAATAGGCAAAGATGTAGGCAAAATATTCCAAGGCTCTCCAAGCCTCCTGTCCCTTATGATGTGTATCTGAGTAGACGCATCATGCTTCTGACTGTTGAATTATCCAGGAGAATGGCTTAAGTGGTAAAGTCTGTGCATAAACAAGATGAAGGTGTGCTAGTCAGTAGTTGGAGAATATGTTTAGACCACAGGAGCTTTGTCATGTGCTCTGTTCTTGAATATTTTTGTGCCCCCCTCCCACATTCCCATATTAGAATCCTAATGCCCAATGTGGTAGCATAGGAGCCGGGGCCTTTAGATGATTAAATCATGAGGGCAGAGCTCTCGTGGAGAGTAATGCCTTTACAAAAGATGCCCCAGGAGAGCTCCCTTGCCCCTTCTGCGTGTGAGGATACAAGAAGTCTGCAGCTGGGAAGAGAGCCCTCACTGGTCTCTACTGGCACCCTCGTCACAGACTTGCAGCCTCCAGAAGTGCTAGAAAAACACTTCTGCTGCATAAGCTCCCCAGCCTGTAGTATTTTGTTACAACAGCCAGAATGGACTAGGACACCTTGCTTTTCAGATCACACTGGGCTTGTGTCTGGGTGGCTGATGGGGTGGCAGGAGGGAAAGAGAATGGAGATGGAAGGATGGAGCAACAGAGGATAAAGAGAGAAAAGAATAAACAGCAGATGAAGTATTTTTTAGTTTTCACTGTTACCAAACAAGAACTTGAGTCACACATATACCTGTAACGAGGCCCACAGGTTTTCCTTCTCATCCTTTATGTGCCTGCAGATAATAAAACACCTGCAAAATACCGCCAGGCCTTGTTTTTCAGCATGATGGGACTTCCTGTTTCTTGTCTGTGTAGACCAAAAAGGACTGAGATCATTTCTCCTTTTTCAGGGATTTATTAGGAAGTACTCATGGGATCAACACCTGAGGGAAGGGAGGGAGGATGGGCTAAGGGAGAAGTTGACCCAGCAGAAGCCTCCCATAACCCTGCAGGGAATGGCCATGGCGGGGTGCTCTTTGGAGTGGTTGGGGGCTGGTGAGAAAGGGCTGAGCCCTGATGAGCCTGCATCATTAGCCCTTGGGTATGGCTGAGGGTGAAGGGAGCATGGCTTCGGGGGAGAAAGGTGGCTCTCTGAAGCTGTGGCATCCCACAGAGGAGCTGAGAGAGGAGGGTCGGGTCCTGGTGGCCCTCCCAGGAGCTGGAATAAGGACTCTTTTGTTCCTGAAGGGGATTCCGGTAGCTTATTACATCCATTACATTGCTCAGTGCGATATAACACCAGAAAACATTGCAAAATAGAAGTAAGGGGGGGGATTCATATTACTAAAGTATGCTGTCAAGATGCTGCATGATTAAGCAGTAGGTCTGAAAATACTACCCGTTTAATTAAAGTTCTCCCCCTTCTACAATGACTTCTGTCCTCAAGAGGGGTCACTGAAGAACAATTTGTTTTTTGCAGTAGCTGTGCTGTTACCACCGGCAATCTAGATATATTTTAAAATCTGATTGCAAAGAAAGATTAGAAACGAAGGGAAAATAAATGTTTTGATTTTCCAGTTTTGCCTAGTGTTTTTATTTTAATTTTTTAAAGATTTTATTTATTTATTCATGAGAGACCAGGGTGGGGGTGGTGGGCAGAGACACAGGCAGAGGGAGAAGCAGGCTCCATGCAGGGAGCCCAAAGTGGGACTTGATCCTGGGTCTCCAGGATCAGGCCCTGGGCTGAAGCCGGCGCTAAACCTCTGAGCCACTGGGCTGCCCTGCCTAGTGTTTTTAAATTTTTATTTATTTATTTATGATAGTCACAGAGAGAGAGAGAGAGGCAGAGACACAGGCAGAGGGAGAAGCAGGCTCCATGCACCGGGAGCCCGATGTGGGACTCGATCCCGGGTCTCCAGGATCGCGCCCTGGCCCAAAGGCAGGCGCCAAACCGCTGCGCCACCCAGGGATCCCCTGCCTAGTGTTTTTTGTTTTTTTTTTTTAATGTTTATTTATTTATTTATTTTTTATATAAATTAATTTTTATTGGTGTTCAATTTACCAACATACAGAATAGTGTTTTTAAAGTGAAAAGGAAAGATTGCTCCTAGGTCTGGCTGCAGTCAAGGAAGTAGGTAGAAGAGACCCCTGTTTGCTAGGAAGCCTTCCTATAAGCTAGACGTGTTTTGCTTCCCTTACTCATTTCCCTTAGGTTTATGACTTTCCATCCTTGGGACTATGGGTCCATGCAAAGAGCTCAGTTCTGACTCATACACTCTTGAGACCAACAACTAACTAGTGCTGTGTGAATCATCTCTCTTCCTTGTTTACAGTCCTTGAGGGTTCCTTAGCGCCAACAGGATGAAGTTTAGATTCCTTAATATGCCCTCCCAGGACC